TCGTTTTTTTTCTGGGACGCACTGGACAATACCAACCGCTTAGGATTACCACGTGTGGTTTATACGGCATGACATCCTTAGTAGCGCAACAACATATGTATTACACAATTATTGTTGGCAATACGAATGCAATAAATGGAAATAGAATGAGGGTCCCCTCATGAATCGAGTCTGCACTTTAGACAAACCAAACCCAGAAAACAGGCGTCGGATTGTACTCCACGTATACTCCTCCTTGGCATTTTGTGAAGCCAAATGTGTCTTTCAGTGTGCATGATTGTGAACAAGAAATAAAAGAGTTACTTCAATACAGTAGTTAAATTGCACATTAGAAAAAAATTCAATAAAATGGAACAACTATTAAAAAATATATACAGATGGATCCAAACTTCATGATGGTCTAAACGGTGCAGCTTTTTACGTTCCAAAATTTAAGATAAGTACAGGTTATAGAGCCACCCCAGTGAATACTGTATTATGAAATAAACATGTATTTTACTTGTACTACAGCCCCATTGCACAATTTATAGCTACTTGCGCCCTCTATATAGCAGACAGTGCCTATCTGATACAAAATTGGTGTTGTAACAGTAGCGTTTTTGTATCTGCACCCAACCAAGTTCATGTTAGGCATTTCAAAACATTCAGGCGCTTTTTGCATCTTAAAAACACAAAGAAAATGCAATAAATTATCAATAATTCATTGCATTTTCTCCCGGTCCTCAACAGAACAAATCCTCTGTGTGGCCATGCCTTGAACCATACTGCATGGCTGTACAGAGGAATTTTTCCTGTTGGAGACCGGGGGAAAATAGAATGAATTATTGCAAATGTATTGCATTTTCTTAGTTTTATCTTGATATGCCACCTACCCTAGCCCCCGCTGCGTACAATCACGATTCATTTGCAAAGCAATGACCTCGTAACTGTGAGCCCCAGGGTCAAAATTGTGTTGATCAGCTATATTAGTGCCCTTTTGTGAGGCATTAACCCTCATTACTTTCAGTTATGAATTAAGGACGTAGGTCCCCTAGTTGGTAAGCAAAGCAGCATACACAGGCTTTAGCAGGCACGCAAAACAAACACTCGCGAATTATTATTCAATCAAATCTGAGAATGTATACTATTATTTAGATCTATTAGGAATAAATCATTGTGAAAATGTTGAGCTCTGCGTCCGGGGAGAGGTTGCTGCAAACGGTGGACACAAGATACGTGATCTGCATCATCTGCAGCATCCAGTTCGTAGTTATCAATAATGGTGGATAGCGGATCTTCTACACCCTGTCCCAGGATGTTCGTCTACTTTAGACTGATAGCCCAAAGTCCTTGCAGGCCTTGGAGAAATGATTCAGTGGGGTCTGGAGCTCCTGGTGCGTATGGGTTTTGTCAGCAGCGTCGTCTGGCAATAGCATGTGTTTGACCAGAATCTCCCGTACTTTTGTTTTGGCTTTGAGGCTAGCGTCTAATCTAGAGTGTAGGTAGATCTCCTCTGTTACTGCGCTAAAGACATGCTCCAGGAGAAAGGCAAAGATGATCCCAAAGAGAGTCGGAGCAAGGCTGCAGCTTTGTTTGACGTCGCTGCGTATGTCGAATGGATCTGAGGTGCTGCCGTTACATTACAATGTCTCCTTCGTGTCTGTATGGAAGGAATCGATGAGGCTCTGTAGGTTTGGGGGGCATCTTGAATGCTAACCAGATCGAATGCCTTGGGGAGATCGATGAAAGCGAGGGACACGGGCATGTTCTGTTCTCTGTATTACTCCTGAAGGTGGCGAAGGGAGAAAATCATGTCTACCGTTGATCTCTAATTGGTGCAGAACCCACACTGGGACTCAGGGTAAACAAGTCCGGCTAGTTTCCGTAGGCGAACTAGGATGGTACGTGTGTAGACTTTGCCAGCAATGCTGAGGAGCGAGATGCCCTTGTAGTTGTTGCAGTCGCTTCGCTCGCCCTTGTTCTTGTAGATGGTGATGATCTCGGCATCCTTCATATTCTGTGTACAGCACCTTCTTGCCAGCACTGCAGAGGACTTCGTGCAATAGGGTTGTCTTGCATTGCTTAATCCGGTCGGGTGGTATTCAATCACTGCCTGGTGACTTTCCTGCAGCCAGGCTGTCAATGGCCTTGCTGAGCTCATCCAAAGTTGGCTCGGCATCGAGCTCATTCATGGTAGGTAGACAATCAATTGCATCAAGAGCTGAAATCGACACAGTGTCCTGTCTAGAGTAGAGGTCAGAGGAGTGTTCCACCCACCTCTCCATCTGCTGAATCTTGCCTGTGATTACTTTCCCAGTGGAGGATATGAAGGGTGCTGTCTTGCCCTGGACTGGTCACAATGCTTTCTTGATACCATCGTACATTCTTCTTATGTTCCCGGTTATGGTAGCAGTTTAAATTTCTTCGCTCAGTTGTATTCAGTACTCGTTAGCGAAGCGCCTGGCGGTCTGATGAGCTTTGCTTTTTGCAGCAAACTGGAGTTGGGAGAGGTGGGAGAGCCCCTGAAGCTCAGTGTTTTTAGGTATTTGATTACTGTCAGATGAGCATCCAGGGGCCCTCCTTAGGGCCCTTGGTGGGGTCCAGGGGTAGAGTTCCCGGAAGCTCAGGAGTTTTAGGTATTTAATTACGGTCAGATGAGCATCCAGGGGCTACCTTAGGGCCCTTGGTGGGGTCCAGGGGCGAATCCTCCGTAGGCTCAGGGGTTTTAGGCATTAATTACAGTCACATGAGCATAATATTATGCTCACCTGACCTGCCAGTGTCACAAATGAGATATCCAAATATGTAATGTTTTTGATACTTTATTTGAAACACTGGCAGGACACTCATTCTTTCTTCTTCTCTTTAACATACTTTTTCATAAACGAGAGGGGGTTCGAGCCTCCGATCCCCGCCGTTCTGCAGGACCTGACATGAAGGCTTCTAAACTTCCTGTTTACCCTCCTTTTCTTTGAATGGAATTTAGTTTTTATGTGATTCAATTCAGGTTTTATTTTTTATTTTCTTTTTGGTTAAAAAAGATAAACCATTTTACTCCTTTACTATTGATTTTTTTACTCCCCTACTACCCCCTACTTTTTCGTCTGGGGGGGGGGGGGACGGCCCCTGCCCCCTCCCCCGCCTCAGGCGCCCATGTATGAGTATAGTAATTGGCATACCTCTCCCCATTCAACTTGGCTGAATTTCTTTTCAAATGAGAGATTGAGGGAACTTTGGAACGATCATTCATTGTATTCACAACTTTGAATACACGACCACAAGAGGAACGATCTGTACGTGCATGATCAATTTCCTGAACTCATTTTCTGCATCAAGAGTCGAGATTAGAACTGCAGTTTACATAGTTTTGTAATTTTATTGTTACATTAGCATTTCAACATACACACAAAATTGAACAGTCAATGGTGTCTCACACACCTTTGTGACGATCCTGAATGAGACCAGTCTATAAAGGAGCTTTTGAGGTTGGGAAACAAAAAAGACCATTGTCTTTATTCCCCCGAAAGTATGATTTTAATTCAGTCATGCATATGAATGGATTACTAGTAAGACGGACTGCACTCCAAGAAAAGATATGCAGTTTCTTGCATTCTTATTATTACGTCTTGATCTTTTCCTAACCTTTGTAAGATTTTCCTCAAAATATGCAAAAATCTCAGACCAAAATAAATCATATTCTTAGTTTACATTATTATATGCGAGTATATCTTCCTATGTTTCTATCATAATATCACCAATTAGGCGAGATGTATTATTTGTTGGGAATCTACGTGAAGTAATATTCTTTTTGACTGTTATACAGTTATTATATTACACTAAATCACAAACACTGAAAACATGCAGGGCCATGCATCTCAAATTCGTAAAACTGGAAACATTATTAAAACGATACCTTTAATCAATGTATCTTTCTACTGGCCACTTCTTGCTACTATTGGCCTGGGGGGAGGGGGTAATTATCCCGCTGGTAATTGGCCGGGGGTGATTGTCCAAGGGGGTAATCGTCCTAGAACCGATTTGAAAAGTTTGGTAACATAAAAGGGTGGATTATTATAGATTACCCAGCTCTAACATGAGACCCGGGCCAATGAACGATATTATTTGTCTGCAGTACGATGTGTACGTAGCAGGCAAACTTGTCTGTGTCGTTAATGAATTTGTGTTGGGTCCGGGGCCGTTGGTGGAAGGTGCATTGACAGCTCGTGCAGTACAGGTGTGCGAGCTAGCTAGGGCCGCCACGGAAACTAGGGCGTGGCATCAGTTAGTGTGAAATTGAAACATTCTAGTTGTTGTCAAGCTACCCCACACTAATTGAAGTGTATTATTGTGTTATTTGTGTGTATTCAGAGTCAAGAAGGATGCCAGATGGAATAAGATGTGAAGTAATAGAACAGACCTTCTGAAACTTGAAAGGAATGAGATCTACTGGAATCCGAAATCAAAACAAAATAAGGTTGAGTCGAAGTTTGACGGGCGTGCATATCCAGAGAGCTTGCACACGTTGAATTTCGAATGGATGCATGCAGAGATTCCCAACTTTCATCTTGGAGGTAGGCCTACATACTGATTTGTGGGAGTGGAGGTATATCAGACGACAAAATCATGACCCCTCCGCATATGCTATATGAATTTGCAAATTCATGCACCGGGGTTATGAATGGTTGAAACTAAAGTAAGGATTTTCTTGACAAATCTGTATTGGACGGATTAGGCAGGAGGCTCCGATGCAGAGTGAGACAAACTAGCATCATGCTCCCCCACTATTGGGTGTCAAGACAATTGAGGTTCGATTTTCGAAACAGGCACATAGTTGAAGTGTTGCATGTCAAATAACACCTTTACTACTAGCTCGAAAGAACAACGGTTAATTTCATATTCTTCATCGCGATTGGAACTTAGAAGTGTCGTAGTGTCAAACATATAGGAAAACGATATAAGTAGGATACATGACAGGTACTTAAGTATTTTGGAAGAGGACAGAGTGATTGAAGCAGACAACAATGGACAACTATGACATGTTGCAAGGTAATATTCTTGGTCGTTTTTGCATCTTTATTTATGTATTTTTCATCAGATTTCAAGTGTTAAAAATGCAAAGTATTTGGAAGCAGTAGCCAAAAAGTGATATTTTCAGTACCCTTGGCTGTGTGTAAAACTCAGTGACACTAAATGTAGTTTAAGAAAAGACAACAAAATGAAATTGAGATTGAAACAAGTAAAAGTAGGCTTACTACATTATAGCATCAAGTGTGATAGACTGTAATTAAACTATTGATTTGTTTGTAATTTATTTTAAACTACTTGTAGTAGCTAACTTCTATGACCTTAATTTTTATAAAGGTATTTAAGACTACTTTTATTAATGGTATTCGGAGATACATTTGATTTAGTTTTAATAAAATCATGTGCATCCTCTTCAAAGGTAATACATAGTTTTGGGGAATTTTAAAAATTGGCTGGATAAAGATTCTTTACAAATTTGAAATATTTGGATGCCCCTGTGGATGTAATATAAACACTAGAAATGTTAGCCCATAAAACGCTTCTGCTTTCGAGAAAAATTGAATATCTAAATTTACCGGTGCTCCCGGGTAAATTTCGATAATTTTCAAAAAGAACCTACGGCCATATAATGGGAGCTGCGACCATGAACATCTCACAATATGTATTGCGATATATAATTTCCAAACGGGAATAGCCAATTGGTCGATTTTAGTCAACAAAACATTGTTTTATAGCTAAATCAATATATTGACCTTGAGAGGGAACTATACAACGAAAAGAGTTTATTATATACAATTTCATCACTTCTTACTCGATTTCAACCGCGACAACGATCTTTGAATATTGTAAGATCGCATATGTTTCCAATATTTTCATTTTCGGTTTAACTTAATAAAATTTGGAGTGGACTTTAAAAGATTAATATTATTATTATTATTATTATTTTGAACCAAACGTATGGCCCCATACCAAAACTTTGTACGACTCATACTTTTGTAAGAAATGATTTTTTTCTCATGCCAGGTAATTCACTAAACAGCATCCATATGAGGAAAGGCCTATTTAAACCGTCAAACCATGTCATATTCACCCTATTGCAACCAGAATCGAAGGTTTCAAATTTGTTCAAACCCTTGGATACATTTTTGATATACATGTGCATACTTATAGAATATCCAAAAAGAGTTGTTGGTTTCTAAACCAAAATCAATCCTAATTTAGACCCCTGCTTACATCTAAGCCGGAATTCAGAACCTCTCTTGGAATGCCTCGAGACATGGTTTGGTCATTTATATCCACTTGCCAAAAGTTACCAGAGGCAGGGATTTAGAAAAAGAAAATGATTGAATTAATTCTGGCAAATTGACACATTTGGTCAGTAAGATAACAAGTCAGATCATAAAATGCTACCTGTAATAATGCTGGCTTGTGATATTATAAATTTCATCCAGGCTTAGAGGTCCTTGCTCAAACCATCCAAAATGATCAATGAAACTTGCCAGAACGTATTTGCAAGGCGCGTGCTAATTTTCAGGCATAGGTTATAATTTGACACTCTAAAACAATTCCATTAAAAAATATGAAACTTAGCCAACTATGTTAGTCTCTGTCTGTGGGGTGCAGTAGACCATGGACCTTACACAGTCCATGAATAGACCATGCACTTTAGTATTCTTGTTCAGACACGCTGTCATAACTCTTCATGTATCACTTTTATATGATGACTTTTTAATAATATGTTGCTCAGCCGATCAAATAATTATGTTCATTAAGTATTGTTGTTATGTCTTGTTGACAATGACGATTATTGCTAACGAGATCTTCCCTACTGCCTGGTTAGTCCTTTCATACATTTTTCCTTTTCAATCAGCATACGGAGCGCAAAGTCCACTTTGATATCACTTTGATATCAAGCGAATCTCATAAATGCACCCTTTTTATTTCAAGCACTGATCCAAGTATTCTGGGATTCCCCACTAAAAAGAGTTTGTGTACTTTGTCTGTCAATCAGATTGGTATCAGTTGAGTGTGTGTTTTGTTTTTTGAAATAGATTTGTTTATAAAGCTTTTATATGCTTTTATGTTGTTGTTATTTCACCATCTCAATGTGCTCCTGAATGGTCAGTTTATCAAATTATAATGTATTCTCGTATTCCAGAAGAAAACAGTGGCAATTGATCCCAGGTTAGGAAAAAACACTTATCTAAAGATATTCACATCCCCATAAGAATTATCACCTTCTGCGATAGATTATAATTTGTTAACATGTTCTTGAATCAGTCTAATATGCTTAGAAAATGGATACAAATACACTTCCTTTTCTTTTGAAATTCCCAAATTTCTTTGAATTTTCTTTGTTCTGTTTACTGAGGTTTATCATTTTGACTAAAATTGTATCACCTAATGTCAATGGATAGTTTAAAAACATTTCATCTGTGATAGCCACCCCTTGTATCGTTCAAACCCCTGTAAGCTGCTGACCCCGTATAACATTGACTGGCAGTTAACAAAAAATGTGACTTAAATATTAGCAGGAATTGAGAAAATCATTTGAAAGGGGCAGGAATATCGGTTTAAGGGGTTAAAACAGTTATGAAGTTTTATTGTTTGCAATAAAAAAAATGATTTAACAACTACGTCGTGTGTTTTCAACTTTACGTTAGGAGTACTTTTTATCATGCACTAACGATTTCATGAATGTCCTTTTCTTCACAGAAAATATTTCATGAAACTTGTACTTTTCTAATTGGAATTTAGATTTTATTGTCATTCATTATGTATATAACCTATTCTATCATAGCTAAACCTTCTAAACGATTTGTACTTATCACTGACTTTATATTTGCCATTTAGTCTGGATTCACGTTTATTTTGTGTTTATTTGCATTTTCTGATAGTTGTTCAAACAAACCGACACATTTTAAAAAGGTGATTTATGAAGTCCTAATTATGTCTAAGTTAGTTTACCCTTGAGCCTGACCTAGTTATGTAAATGAGCTTGCCTGTCTAGGTGTATAGGCTGGTAGCGATTATAGAGGGTGGGGGAGGGGGAGCTCAAGATCCCCAACATTTCTCACACCCCCCCCCCCATTTCAAGAAAGTAAATGCAAACAACTTGGTTGTTCTACCCCATCACAATATAATATTGAATTATCCCCCCCCCCCCAGTTCAAGAAAGTAAATGCAAACAACTTGGGTGCTCCACCCCTCACAATAGAATATTAAATTACAGCCCCACCCCCCTGAAGTGTGCCTGCTATATGAGTGAAAAGTAAGTAGTGTTTTGAATAGCTGATCTAACATTTACACTGACAACAGTTGCCTGTTGCTGCATGTATTTAAAGGTAGATGGTTACTGTCACGGTTGCAATGAAATAAGATTTAGGGTTAGGGTTAAGGTAAGTGGTGAGCCCAGTGTTTTAACTTAAATACAACGATCAGAGAAAAGTACTAGTACTCCAACAGAAAACAGAAAAGCGAACTGGTGAAACGTAAAAGTTGAATTAAATCAGACCCCCCCCCCCCAAAAAAAAAAAAAAAAGAGAGAAGAGAAGAAGCTGTGATCCTATAGGCATAGGTACTTTAGGTGAATTGGTAATGTCACTGTGACGTAGTGCCGGACAGTTTGCCCATTTGTTTCAACACACAAAAGGATCGAAATGTTAATTTTGCATTATGTTAATATGTGATATCCGTGATCAATTTTATTTTTGTTGCAATCAAATCAATGATCAGGTTTTTTTCTAAGTAAGGTCGACATGTTTGTACATGTATGTCGCGAATGAAACATGCATTATCCATTCTTTTAATGGGAGTGTTATCTTGTTTCCTGTTCTGCATGCAGATGCCTGTACGGCCCTCCTAGAAATTCTGGAGAAGAGTTCAGACTCTGTGAAAGAAGCATACAAGTACATGCAAGCCCTTCCTGAGGATGTTCGAGACAAGCTCTTCCCATTCTATAGTCATCATAGTCTTGGAATAGAGAGGGCGATGTGTGGAAACCAAACATTGAAGGAAATGCCTGGTAGATCAGACCAAGAAGAGCTGTACGCTAGGTTTGGTTTCCTTCATGCATCTTGCAAGAAGGGAGATGTCGACGCTGCTCACATGTTAATGTGCTGGGGGATTGAACCATGTTGTAAGAATACAGAGGTGAGACATCTTCCTTTTAAATACATACTTAACATAACCCTTATAAAAATTACCACGGTACACGATATTTTGACCACAGTACATATACCAAGGTACAACCATGGTAACACGATATCTAAATAAAAAATAAATATAAGGTAGATTTCAGGCCCGAATAGTTCATGGAAAGATGGTGAGCCGATAGACATCCGTGTTGCATCTTGTGTTTGAGAAGAAAAATTTATGATGTCCCTTGAGTATCTTCTGTGGTTGTGTAATGTATTTAGGTATGGGTATGGCGACCTGATGTTTCATGGATTTGAAGAGGAGCGGGTACCTAGCCACAAAACGTCGACTTTTTGTAGTGGTTTCCATTTTAGTTCACCCTTCAGCCGAGCACAGTGGGCATTTGTGACTACTTTATCCACTTGGTTCTCCCAGAATATGTTATTGGTTAGTTCCACTCCGAGGTAGGGATGGTTGTTCACCTCTTTGAGGGTGGTACTACTTAATATGTAGTATGCTTGGCTGATGAGGTCACGTCTCCTTCTTAAAGTTTGAAAAACATAGCATTTGATGACGTTGAATTTCATTTGCCACTTGTCTGCCCATGTAGATAGTCTGTTCAGATCCGCCGGGATGATTACACTGTCATTGATCGTCTTGGGGCGCGTTCATGCTTGATTTTGACGGCCAGAATCAGGCATCTGTTACGCGTTTAGTTTAAAACACGATTGCGTTCATGCTCACTTTTGTAGAATCACCGAAAAACGGCGATCACGATCGCCGATCGTAAACTCACAAAAAGATGCGTTTACAATTTGTAAACGCGTTTAAATGGGGTCAACGCACTGACCTCTAGTGGGTCTACGTAGCATGCGCACACAGGTTTGCGAATCCAGCTGAAGGCCACCCAAGGAGAATTGCCTGGAGAAGTGAGCATGAACAGTGCACCGTGGAACTGCGATTACGATGAGCGTTTACGATGAGCGTTACAAATCGCTCATTCTGCCTTCAAAATCAAGCATGAACGCGCCCTTATTAATCACTTGGTAGAGGATGCAATCATCTGCAAATAGCCTTATACTCGACGTGATGTTTGTATTGATATTATTGATATATACGAGGATAAGGAGCGGGCCTAGGACGGACCCCTGCGGGATGCCTGACAGTACTTCAACCGAGGCTGAGCATTCCCCAACAACGATTATTCTCTGTGATCTTGTCGTCAACCAAATGTCGACCTTGAATGCCACACTTTCGAAGAAGGAAGAGAAGTCTTTGATGGGGTACCTTATCAAAGGCCTTGCTGAAGTCGAGAATCAAAACGTCCTGCTAATAGTACCTTGTTCGAATGATCGTATCAGGTCTTTTATTGTAAGAATGAGCTTGCTCTCACAGCTTCGGTGTTTCCGAAATCCATGTTGGTTTTCATTTAAGAAATTGAATTGTGATCATCAAGATGATAGATGGGATGTTCATGAGACTCACCGGAGAATTACCGGCGAGTAATGCCAAGTATTTCGTATACGATCCTCAAGGGTAAAGACATGACAGAAGTGATCATTTAACATATGGGCCTTTTCGCATGGCAGAGATGCTTCTCGTTCATTCCAGCGGAGTATAGGAGTACCAACATTGTCCCGTCTCCTGCTTTTGAAATATGAAAAAGCCTTCTTGCTTAACCTTTCTGCCAGATGAAGATCGTTGTAAGGTCGATCTTGTGGGGTTTTCTGTTCATAGATCTGAAACGAGCTTGGAGCAGTTTGTACCTGCTCCAGTGCGTTATTGGTGACTTTAGCCTTGAGTCTGGCCCTCTTCTTCTGTCTAGCATTTCTACTGAGGTGTTTGTTCCACCATGATAGGTTGGGTATATTTTTAGTAGCTTTTACTGGTACATGTGAACTGACGACTTTCTGGATTGCTTCTTTCAGAAGGTTCCAGCGGAGAGATGCTGATTAACAAAGCAATTGTGGAGAATCGTGTTAGTAGATTCTTTCAAGTCATCCATAAGACTATTTATATTGGCTTTCTTGAATTTTTAGACTTTCCTTGGTTTTGTCTTCGCTAGCTTGACATGTAGTGAAAATTGCAGTTTACAGCATCTTGGTCGCTCAACCTCTTTCTCTATTACAACATCAGTTGATTTATTGAAGGTAAATTGAAGTTTTCGATTCGGTCAAGTCAGTGACTTTAATGGGTCTAGACAGAAGATTTCATGTATACTAACATGATGACACAGCTTCTCCTATAAATAGGCCAAGTCCCTGTTTTCCATTGATAGTCCTTACCTTTGCTCAGCTAGTACACAGTTGAAATTGTGAAAACTTATAAAAAAACGTTTAAATCTTTAAACTAATTTTTAAATATAGCATGTCCCTGACTTAACACAACTGTTTGAAACAAATGAAAATAAAAAATATTTCCTGCTAGGATTGTTGACCAGCTGAAGCTATATTCTCTTCTGATTTTGTTATTGTAACATATTTCCAGTTTCATTTTTCATCAATTTATGTTCGGTTTGAACCTGCCTGTTGGATTCCTGTCACATATACATAGATTTGTTAAGAATACGAAACAAGCATCTTGGAGGAAAAGTTTTTACTTTCTCACTATTTCTACTCACTATAATGTGGAGGTGGTAATAACTCTTGACTTATCATTTATTTAATCATATTTTCTCACCTTTGATGAATGTATTTGTCGTGGAAGTTGTTTTTGTGCATTTCTTTTCTGTTAAAATAAGTAATATGTAATTGAGTAGTATTAATATCAGAAGAAATGATGTACCGTTAATAATCCTTTTGAATCGTCTAACTTCTGCACAACACTTTTTATGTATACTACTTACAGTAATTAAATCTATATTATATTGATGATGTATTTAATACTTGTTTGACATCGAAAGAAGTATTTATTGTTTAGCTGTTGATCAGCATGTGAGAAACTGAGAGAGAACTTAGATTTCACTAATACATGCTTTAATACAGATGTGGTCTGTCAAGGTAAGGTTTCCACTATACTTCTAATGATGAAGTTACTGTCATTATAAGATAAATATGGACCGTAACATTGGTATGTTTGCTTGATACAGGGTAGAAGTGCATTGGAAATAGCTACCACTGAGGGGCATCTCAACATTATCACTGAACTGGTGAAAATAGATGAAGGTAAATTGTTGTATTTTCACTACCTGTCTTTTATTATGTATTACGTACTACACAAGTCTCTGTCTCTGTGACTGATTATGTGTCGTACTATTCGTTACGCCATCTGACTGTCTCTTTCTCTCGCCAATTGTATTTTTCTGTCTCTTCCTATGTCTGACTGTCTGTGTGTTTCACTGAAAGTCCAACGTTTCTCACTGTGTATGTGTGTTTCTTGGTCCTATACTGCCTCTTCCCCTGTCTTCGTTTGATTGTTTGATTCTCTGTGGGTTTTTTTTTAGGGATACTCTCTCTCTGTGTGTGGTTTTTTAGGGATACCCTCTCTCTCTGGTTTTTTTAGGGATACTCTCTCTCTCTCTCTGTGCACATTGAATCATTCTTCCTTTTCTCTTACTCGATCTCTATGGCTTTGTGTGTGTCTGCCTCTCTCTCTCACCCTCTCTCCCCCCCCTCTCTCTCTCTCTATTTATATCTATCTTTCTATATATCGCACCCTCTCTTCCTCTGCCTCGCTCTATCGGTCTCTGTCTCTCTGTTTCTCCTCTCATGTTAAGTTTTTCTCTGTCTCAAATTCAGCGCACTTACATCAAAATAGATCTTGTGCACATATAATATGTGCAACTTGGTAGGTAATACTAGCCTGCTTAATGTCACTGGCACATAATGTTGGTAGGACTAATTGAATTACCAGAGTCTTCCCGTCCAGAGTAGGCATTCTGGTGTGATAATCAATTCACCATATTAATATCTTAGTATTACTCCCATCTAAAAGTGAAGGAGTTAACTCCTTTTTGCTCTCAGCAGACATTGTGTGAATAGAACTTACTTTAGTTGTAATTAATACATGTACCATTCAGATTTCTGCTTTAATTCCCCGTTCTCTTCCTCTTCCCTCTTATTTTATCTATCACCCTTAATTTTCTTTCTTCCTTTGTTTTACTATCTCTTTGGTTCATGATTCATTCATCTGTTAACACTCTCCTCTCCATCTCCTTTTACTCCTTTCATCGCAACACTTCAGGACTACTAGAGGATGTTGCCGAGTTGAAACTCCTTGTCTGTCGTGCATGCAAGGCAGGGAAGAAGGAAATCATAGACTTCTGGTTTGATCAACTGGTAAGACATGGACATCTACTCTTCGAGCAACATAAACCCAATCCACTCCTGTTTGCATGTCAAGGTAAAAACATCATCTAAATTGTATATCGTCATAATATACAGTTAATAACAAAATAATTCATACAGCCTTACCAAATTTTGTGATTTGTTTGAATTTGTGAAAAATTGAATTGTTCCAATTTATGTTTTTTGAGAATGTGATATATTAGAGTCTGATATTACACTGTCGCTCATAAATTTGGAATATTTTGGTTTTACCCCAATTTATGGAATTATTTTAAAAATAATTAAAAAATAATAGATCTAGATAATAGTAAACATTCTCAGATTTTATTGAATAACAATTTAACAATGTGTGTTTTGCGTGACTGCTAAAACATGTGTATGCTACTATGCTTATCAACTAGGGGACCTACGCCCTTAAGTCATAAATGACAGTAATGAGGATTAATGCCCCACAAAAGGGCACTAATATAGCACATCGATACGGTTTTGATCCTGAGGCCTCCCGGTTACGAGGTCATTGCTTTGTCACTGAACCATGACTGTACGCAGCAGGGGCTAGGGTTTACTTCATATGCCTCATGTCAATAATTATTGAGCAGTTGTACTGAAATACAATAATGAGACATTCCAAATTAGGGCAATTCCTTGTTTAATAGAGCTTCAACACTTCTAAAATTGATTTCTGGTGGCAACTAATAATACTTTAGTCTTATGTGAACATCACTAAATTAAATGAATTATTCATATTATGAAGCAATGTATCAAATATGATACCTGACCTAAAGAAAATCATTACCAGGGTACAGCATGCGTGCTACAGTAAAAACGTATGACATAAAATGATCACGTAAATGTAATCCATTTATTGGGTTGTCACAATTCAAGAATGCGTGAGTGTGGGGGAGAGATAATTTTAGAGGGAGAGAGACCGGCAGAGAGCCAAGCCAAACAAACATGAAATGTTGTATAGTGAAGTGCATGTTTGAACATCGCTTCAAGCGAAAAATCTATTAATGCTGTATTATTATTTATACAACTGGGTTGGAATTATCCAGAGTGCACTCTAATGATTGTTGTCTATAAAATGATCCGTGTCTCTTCAAAACTATTTCTAAGTACAACGCTTCTTTATACGATGTTGCTATCTAGTCTGTAGGCCCCTTACAATATACAGTAGATCCCAGAAAAATCGAAAACGAGAATTATCGATGTATCACAATTATAATTAATAAATGACACATATTTTTAAAGCTTAGATCCTTCTCTTTCATTTCATGCAAGGCATAATTCACGCATGAGTTATGAAAAAGAATTTGAAGAAAGCTTTACCAACAAGTCATTTGGCGAACGGTATCTGAATTTCGAAGAGAAAATCACATTTTTAGAAAATTCATTTCTGCCCTTTCATATGACACCTCAAACAGGAAAATTGAGCATAAAATGAAAGAGGACGATCTAAGCTTTACAAATATGGGTCCTTTATCAATCATAATTGTGATTAAGATGAAACATCGATAATCCTCGTTTTTGTTTTTTCTTGGAAAACCTGTACAAAAAGTTTTCAGATGTTTCTGACTGTTGTATAAATTTCCTCCAGTTTGAACAGGATAACAATCCTGGCGCACACTACACGATTGTCAATGCAATCCGATTTTCATTGAAAAGGCAGTTATATTGAATATAGATGTCTAAACAACCACTGTCCTTCTGATTTAGGTTCTAAATAATGATGAGAATATGGAGAACCATAATTTTCGTGCATTTAATTCTTCTAGTCAGAATAAAACCCGAATCGGCTCCAAATTCTACACAATCGCACTTTTCTGCTGGTCTGACGTTACTCTAATTCAAAACAGATTTAGCTTTTCCCCCTCCAATGAAGCATGAAATCCCTGTGAGCTCCAAAGAGCAAATGGAATTCGAAAATCGTTCAAATATGTGGGAATGAACAATTTATCAGTAAACATAAGATGATGAAGCGGATCCTAATCAAATGATTTGTTGAGAGCGTACACGTGACCACGCATTTAGTTTGCCCAACACGTAATTTTACTAATGACAGGTCATCAGTAAAATTATGTTATAAAACATCATTTTATAAAACTTATATATACACATCATTTTGTTCGGGCATTAGTAAAATTACCTACACTCGGTACCTTCGAAACAGTCCAAACACCCTCGGCTATCACCTCGGCCGTGTTAGATTGTTGCAAAGGTACCTCGTGTGGGTATTATCATGTTTTATTTTTTATATAAAATGATATTTTATAACATAAAGACCGGTCATTAGAATTGTATAATGACCGGTCATTATCTAAATTACGCGTAGGCAAAATAAATCCCTGGTCACGTGTACGCGATTTACCAATCATTTGATTAGGATCCACGTCATCATCGTATAATTCTTACTAATGCCCTCACTGCTGTGTATTATTTATTGTATTTTTATAAAATTAGAACTTTTTCTGCAGATTAAGCACTCCATATTATCGTATCATTCACATGTGACCACATTTTTGGGTCTAATTCTTTCAAACTTTCACGAGTATGCTTTTCTGATTTGTCTGCTTTCGGGGTTGGATTCCCCTTTAACAAACAGGTTTGTTACCTTCAGAGTCTGAAACGAGAAGTGAGCACTAGAAAACAGAAACCAAAACTAAATGACCCGCTGTGTTGGGTATTCGGATATTTATTCAATGATTTTATGTTGATTGAAAATTAACTTTTAGGATTATCTCCCAACCGCGGATCAAGCAATAAGTTTTCCTCCTTTTCTCTTTTTTTTTTGAGTGGGGGGGGGGGGGGCAGGGGTAAATATAAGATATCTGTTTTTATTCCTGTATGCCTACTGTTTGACTGGAAATAAAAATTGGATACAGTGAAAGATTTTGTTGTCTGTTTGGAGCCAGAAGGGCACCATGGTGGTGTAATGCCCTTCTACTCTAGCTGACAACGGACGATATATACCTTAATTGGTCTTCCTTTACTTGACATGGTGTAGGTGGGCATTACAGCATAGTAGCAGATCTGATTGACAGAGGTTTAGTTAGCATTGATGAAGCAGCAGTCTATATGATGGGCGCTGATATCTTGCCACTCCTCAAGATATGGGTTGTACCTAATGACTCCAGCACTAATACCGACAACGACAAAAAGGTAGGAAAACTGTTACACAATTACTAAAAGGGAGATTAAAGTGGGATTAAAGGGAGAGGGTCGTCAGTTTCATGTGCAGAAGGTCATAATTCGCCGACACCAGACTTGATGGAAATACCATTAAGGTATCATATGGCTTTGATCGATAATACATTTTTTTGTTTTTGTTTTTACTTGTTTCTTCTTCTTTCTAGGGCACAAACTATTGAGGGAGGGGAACTAACATTTTGGCTTCCCATCTGGGTATTGTGAGGGAGTTGAGTGTAGAATAGATTTCTGAATTTTACCTCATTATATAATTGTTATCATTTGAGTTTACTTCATAATGTGATTTGATAACTGTTTAAGAAAGGTTTCAATTCACTCAGATAGAAAAGCTAGTACCATCAACCATTACTTATAGATTCATATATCAGGTATTTATTTTAATCTACATTCTCCTTGTAGGAACTCATTGCAAATTGGCACCACAAGCAGCTCAATACCTTTGACCCATCGTGGCTTCAGGGTTTTCAAGACTCAACCCATCAAGTCCTGTCAACCATCAATCTATCCCAGAATTCTCTCTCCTCTGTACCAGAGGGTCTCCTATGGGGTTTACAGAATCTACGTCATCTCAACATATCCCAGAATTCAATTCAGAGACTGCCGTCCCCGAAAAGCCATCGAAACTTGAGCGAGTGTCGGTATGCTATGGTTTTAAATTTTATTTTGTCATCAGTTGCTTTATAAATAATATGATGCTTCAAACTGACCAAATAAAACAATTTTGTCTGTTATTATACATGCAGATGCTTTTATTAGTTTATGGCTCACCTGAATATAAAAAAGCAATGTTTGCTGTAAGATTAGTTACAAACAGTTCATATAGTACAATTCCTCTCTCACGGACTCAGTGAATTTGTATAATGCCTTGCTTAAGGAAACAATTACAGTCTGTATTGCTTTTGAAACCAGGATCTTCTGTTCAAAGGCCACTACTCTATCCACGGAACCTTTGCTGAAAGATTAACCGTATCGTTTAATTGGCAGACATGTATGTGCTGGCTTGAGTTCATCCCTAAACTAACAGAGAACAGTGCAGTAACGACTGGTGCTGTTTCCTTTTAATTTTTTATTCTCTAGAAAAAATTGTTCTGGTAGCCAGGTAGGGTAAGGCTTGCTTTTAGATCTATTTGATTTTTGTGTCGTGCAATGTGGCCTTTCTCCAATATTAGTGCACACTTCCAAACCATTACCTTGAGTGTTCCACAAATTTCCTTTGTCACGTGTGTTATAAATGTCTATAATTACTTTTGTTCTTGTCGATTAGTGATACACATACCGTGCCTTTGAGTTAAAAAAAAAAAAGGTTTACACTCAGAAAATTGTTATTTATTTTAAAATTCACCTATAAACGAAAGGTTATCATACAGTACATTTCTTGAAAGAGTGTTATATCCCGAATCGTTCGGTATCATTTTTGTGTGATATGTGTTCACGCCTCGATGAACAGGAGGCATTGTTTGCGAGAGTGCAAATTTCGACTTGCGCAAAAGTATTAAAATGAGAGAATGAATTGAATGTATCAAATGAGATGCATTGCATACGCTTTTTTCAGAAGCAAAGTCATCCACGCACACACACGCGCACAATTGTTCTTTGATATTTGATATGTGTGGCATGATTTTGCTATGGATGTTATTTGGATCTGCAAAGACCGAATCCCATTTTTTTTTAAACACCACATTTATTACTTTGGCGCAAGTCGATTTTTGCACTCTCTTAAACAATGTCTCCTGTTCATCCAAGCGTTAACACATACCACACACAGACGATACCAAATGATTTGGAATAAAACACTCTTTCATAAGATGTATACTAACTTACTGTTCTTAGATAATTTAAAAATAATTAGCAACTTTCTAGGTGTAAACTTTTTGTTGACTCACACTGTACTATAGCATCATCTGAGCAGCAGTGAACAATTTTGATTGGCCTATTTGAGGCTCTCCTTGTAGTGATGTGACCAGCTGGCAACTATATTATCTCGTGATACCTGAACTGGCTTTATTGTTCAAAAAATTCTATGCAAGCTGATAAAAACTTAAGTCCTTGAGCAAGCCATTTTATCTACCGCATTTATACTCCTCTCCACCAAGCTTTGAAAAGGGTACCCGGTAGGATGCGAACGTTGTTGAGGTTGGATTAGCATGTGCGCCCCCGTAAAAAGGTGACTAGCTGGAATAATCACCAGGGAGTGGAGAATGTGCACTGTAATGTGCAGAATAGTAATTTAATTCAGTGCCTGTGGTCATAGAAAAACCGTATGTACTTGGTCAGTTAATGGAAAAGTGCTATATAATTAGAAACTGGTATTATTATTTGACATTTAGCGTCCTGCTAATGTCATTAACACTTTGGATATTGTTTATTCAAAGTGTTATACAAATCCAACGTCCATCTGCATATCTGCAATTAGTTATGAAATGATTTAAAATGGGTATTATTGATTATGTCTTATACAGATTAAAGTCTCTGATCCTGAATCAGAATAAGCTGGTGTCTGTACCAGCTGAACTGTTTATGTTACAAGAATTAGAGTTCCTGTCCCTCGCCAACAATTCCATGACAGAGCTTATACAACCTGCTAAGGAATCCACACAGAGTAAGTAAAGTGAAACCTGTATTAAAGACCATCCAAGGGCCTCATATATAGACCCCCCCCCCCCAAAGGGAGACCCGAAGAGTGAGCTTTACGTGTATTAAGTCAGTATGTACAGGTCATTATGTAATATGTTTTTCAATCTAAATCACATATCAATTAAGAAAGGTAAAACAAAAATGGCCTTTATAGAGAGGTAGTCTTTGTATATGCAGGGTTGCTAGAGTTTTATCTTATTATCCCCAAAACCATGCAATGCCTACAGTGTACCTATTGATTTACCCCTTTGAATTGATAATTTTAAATAATTTGCTCAGTCAGTTGAGGTAGAAATTTGTATTGTATTTATTGAGTATGCATGAAAATGTTATCAAATTGGAATTTTTGAAAAGGAGAGGCAAATGGAATAAGCCTGTCCTATGTATGCAAATGTAGTAAAATCATGCTTTTAGTACATTAGAATGAAAAATTTATTTCAGAAGTACACGTTGGACTTGCAAGGCAAGAAGCTTTTTTGACATTGGTAATGATATTCTAGGTGTTCTGATAATTCCTTGACAGATTTTTAGATAAGGTACATGATTTCTTCATTCACATGACAAAAGGGATAATTGATGTATGGCACTGATACATCAATGATTCTAAAATACAACTAATCATCTAAACTTGTATAAATTTATATATGTATTCATGAAGTATGTGAAATCCATTGATGTTTTCAATGACTATATTTGTGAGTGAGTCGTCCTTTTTTTAGTCTGTCATAGCTTCGTACTTTGATTTTGTATCTTTTAATTTGTTTCCTCTTCTTTTTAAGATGAGATCCCAAGACAATGGAACTGCATGTCTCTCGTCAATCTGAATCTCTCCAAAAACAAACTGAGCTCTCTCCCGAGACAGATAGATGCTTGTACATCACTTATCACTATCAATCTATCAGATAACTCATTCTATGAGATACCAAAACCTTGGACATGTCCACTGGTAAGTCTGCCCCCTCTCCCAACCCCCCTCTCTCCTTTTCTCTGCCTTCCTTTCTTTCTTTCTCTCTCTCTGTCTGTCTATTGTATTGTCATTCCCTCTTTCTCTCTTTCTCTCTCTCTCTCTGTGTCTCCTGCACTTCATTATACTCTCCCCCTCTCTTTCTTTACCTATCTTTAATAGTCTCTTTCTCTCTTTCCTATTCAGTAACATGTAACATGTTACACCTGCAGTGGGTAGATGGTGGCAAATATAGATTAACGTCTTGCCAAAGGACATTAATTAGTCCCGCAGCGGAACTCGAACCCCGTACCTTGCGATCTGCAGTCGGGTAACCTATCAACTAGACTTTAACACCTATAATATGTACTTGAAAAGTTTTCAATAAGCTGGCATTGCAGCTTAGTTCATTATGACTTCACCTGCTGGATCGATTTGGTACTTGAAGCACCAACAAATTATTCTGCTGGACTCAAAATTAGTTTGTTGCTAAATTATCACTTGACATTATGATTCCGGTAGAACCAGTTAATAACGGGTTTAAACTGACTACGGACTGGCTTGGACTGCCTGGAAATGGCAAATTTACCCGATCTGAACTTGATATGAACTGACTGTGGACAGGGTAGCCTATAGACGAGATGGACGTATTGAGGACTGTTTATGAACGAACTAGGATGGTATTATAGACATCATTTACACACTCTACTTCCACCACAACCCGTTTAATGATTTTCTAGGACGGTTCCATAACGTAATGAGAACTAGTTTGGTATGATGGGGGCTTCAACGTGTTAGCAGTGTACATGTTAATTTCAATACAGTTATGATCCGATTATATGTTAGGTCACGATTGGCGAGGTCTAGTTGTGTCTGAATTTTGAACTTGTGGACATTTTCCCACTGCTTCTCCTGTCAGATTTACACTCCTGGCACTCCACATTTATTGCATAATTACTTTAATTTGCTCACTTGACTCTTGCAGGAGATTCTGAACATATCAAAGAACATGGTCCAGTCCGCTTCGGGTGACCTACCAAGGTTCTGGCACCGTACATTGCGATTCCTCAACCTGAGCTACAACCGTCTGACAGAGATTCCTACTGCCATCTGTCAGTTGAGCAGTCTAACGGGGTTGGATCTCTCCCATAATGCACTCCATTGCTTTCCATTACCAGGAACATGGAGCATATGCAAGCTTCAGCATCTTTACTTGGCTCACAATCAACTCATTCATAGGGAGGCACAACCACAGACCAAGCAAGACAAGTGAGTCTATTCTCAAGAATGAAAATAGACCAATTTAATGGTTCAAAAATTTGATGCCAATACAGACTCAGACCACCTTACATGTATGTTTGAAAAATATATACAAAACAATAAATAGCTTTAGGATAAGAATGAATTAAAATAAACAAGGCAACCCAACCACATTTTGCCAATCATCAACTTGAATACCAATTTGTTAAGATTAAATATACATGTGTATTTGAATATCAAAGTAACATGGTGATGAAATGTCTTTTTACAATGAATAATATACATTTAAATACATGTAGATGATGAGATTGTAATTCAGAAAGAGGCATTCTGTAAATTAATGATTTTCACACATTTCTGCGATGACACAGCATTACTTGTTTTGGTGTGAAATCAATAAAGCATCCTTGTAAATGTGCACTTCTTTTATAAGTTTCCAACAGTTTTGTAAGGATTATGAGAATGAGAAATCAATATGTATTAAATTTCTCCTGAATTATATCTCAATAGTCCTAAAAGATCTTCTATAAAGAGACCTTCTGTGAAGATATCTTCTGTGATGAACAAGAAGAAAGACACTCCTCTCAAATCACCAACCAGTCGTCAACCAAAGAAGGAAGGTGCTGTGAAATTCTACGCTGATGGTGGCAGCAGTCATCCTGAAGAATTGAAGAAAATTGAATTCCCAGAATGCTTTGCGCACAGTCTCTCTGTTCTGAAGCTCTCCCACAATGCCCTAGAGGATGTGCCTCCGAGCGTCTGTAAGCTTGAAGCATTGTATGATCTAGATATCAGCTGGTGAGCAAATAGAAGTAGAAGTGTTTCATTGGGGTTGAGGAAAAGCAACATGCTATATGTAAAACCAGAAACAATGGTTGCTTTAAAATGTTTGCAATTTGTGTAAATGGTAGAGATTCATGGACATAATTGAATCACAGTTGATAAACTGCAAAATTTTTGGAAAATTCGTTTTAAGTTTCTTGCTTTGAAAGTGACCATCAGTTTTGTGTTGCCAAAGTTTCTGGTTTTAAAGGTCGGTTGACATCCCAATATAAGTTAATTCCTGTTGATCTGCAGGGATGCATACAACTCATATTTTGTAATTCAAATGTCTAAATATATCTAATAGATTTTTAAATATTTAAAAAATAATGTTCTAAAACCTGATAAGCTCCACCGTAAAAAAATGCTCCAGATCTCATTCATCTTGTGACATCATCTGTCAAATCATCAGTGAGCTAACAAGAGACGGTGGTATGTAGCTTCACCAGAGCTGACCACCTGTCTACAATAGACCATCCAATACCAACATAGGAGTTGTTATGTCACACGTGCTGTAGCATCACTAGGAAAAGAAAGATAACGTGGAGGTATTGCATGAATCATACCTTGGAATAATATTTTGGAAGTAGGCATAAAGTTTAACAAAACTTATTTGCCCCTCGGTGTCCGCTA